TTAACTAATAGAAACAAAATCATAAGTGGATATTATTACAGGTAGGTTACGTCTGACGTGGGTCAATATCATATTCAATCCCGTAAGTGAGCCTCGAAACACTAAGCGTTGGGAGGATCAAATGTGGTGTCAGAATGTTGCATAAGCTTAATCAAAATCTGTACGGTTATTGAACATATATACACATATATATGTAAATATATATACACCGCGATAGGCGGATATTCAAGAATCTGTAGTGTTTGGTTAGTATTCACAGTAATTGTTCAGTCCCCTTTTATCCGGTAGGCCATTGTCCAACCTAGAGGAATGTGAAAATGTGCACTGAAATCGTTGCTATGGACACTGGAAAATGGAAAGCACAAGTGATCATGAGCGGATTTGAACCCATACTTGATCCGACCATGAGGTGCACTGTTTTCGCAACATCTTTTAATATCAAATGCATTCGGGTGGGAAAAGCGGATTTCTTTCATGCATTGTCTGCACTAACAAAAAGGATGAGCAATAACTGCTAATAAGCATTCAGCTTCATGTAAACGTGAAAATCGGCTTATCTCTTCGTTCTCTTTTGTACTGCAGCTAGATCATATAGCGTGACAGATGGACTTACCTGAAATTCACTAAACATTTGAGCGCTAGTTATTCTATGCATATTTTTGGTATAAAATGTAAATGAAAGGGCTCAAGTGACTGAGATTCAGTACTTTTTGACGGAAGAGCAGCGAAAAGAAAATGCAGTTATGGTATGGCGGAATTCCCTCTCCGAACTAGTTTAGGAACTCCTATTCGTCTACTACCACGATCAGGTATTTTAGGACGGACAGTTACCTCGAACGAGTTCCAATTATGTACAGAAAAATCACACAGTTGATTTTTGGTCGGTTCGATGTTTCCTCTTCAAACGTAATAGCGGTAGGGGGGAGTAAATCCGGTGAAATGAAGAGACAAACTGGTGATGATTCTGGCGCCTTTAGAGAACGTATTGATGCTTTTATCCTTATCCAACTGAAACGTTAAAAGGTATCGAACTAGCTGGGTACCAGCTACATTATGTTGTTTCACTTGATTATATTCACTTGAATACCATACGGTACAGCTCAAAAATACCGCCAATCAGTCGGTATGAGTAATTGGTAATTTTGATTCAAACTGCTTGGTCTTATGTAGATATGTGCCTTAGTTGACCCCATTTGAGTTGTGAGCTTTCTGTCCTGTGGCTAAGACTTTAAAACTCAATGAACTTTGCCCAAACGCAAACGACACTTACGTTCTTAGTCGAGATTAAAATCCTGTCGCAATATCCACAAAAAAGTATACGTATGCAGTACACATCGGAGGGTGTTATGTGGTTCGATAATGAGCACAGCGTCAGTTCATTCATACCGATACTATTTTTTCTTCTTTTCCTGCTCGACCGTCAAACTGAGTTACACGTAATTGCTGAAGGTGAACTTACTTTCGCGGTTTCTTTTTATTCCTGGAAGCAAAAACGGAACCTGGAATCCGCGATGTGGAAATATCGGTCAGTGTTATTTCAGATGAAGCAGATTATACGCAGTGAAAGGTACTCGCATTGTGAATTACCGCTAGTCCATTTGAGCAGTAGGATGCTAAACGGATTCATCGTGCAGTGTTGACGTGTCCCACATACATCGCTAAAAAGCATTGTATAACAGAAAAGGAATCAGAAGAGCTCGGAAGTATATCCACCGGGGGTTCCCGGCATCGAATAAAGATATTTTTTTGAGAATAAAACACAGACAGGCAGACACAAAAAAGTGTAGTGACGACATCATTGAGCGTAACAGGCAGTGCGTTCTATGTGAAGCGGATTTTGGTGGAACAGTAGCCCTGTAGTGATCTGTCGACTAATATTCCTTCACGCTCTTGCTCTCCCCCTCCCCTTCATATGTGAATTGAGAATTTTCCATTTTTATCTCTGTTAAGAAGAAAGCACAGATTCGCAAATTAGCATTTTCCCCTGTAAATATTTAATAAACAGACTGGGTAGCTAAATGTTAATGATCTGATATTCTGCTTATATCCGCCAAAATAAATTACTGCCCGTTAAAAATAAAACACATTAATTTTACTTATAGATAACTTGGAGACAGATATTTGTTTTATTCTTAATAGTTTCTTTTTATCACATGCAACCGCATGGTAAATTGTTTTCAAATTCTGTCCAAGTGAGACGATATCAATAACATTATTTACCAAAATATTCAATCGACAGAAGATGCGAGAAAAGTAGTTGGTTTGAAAAGCATATGTCCACACGCAAACACGTTCACATTGCTTCATGAAATCATTTGCACATGTGTTGCCCCGTTTTAAATAGAGCTGTTCACGAGGCTCATTCAACCCATCCTGTGCATCATCACACGACTGAGGCAACAAGCAAAATGACGCATTCGGGAAAAACTGGAGCAACGCATCCGCATCGGAACTTTGAACAGAGCATTGATGATTTACTCAAACAGGCGGCCGCCAAAATGCACGGTATGATTGGAAAATTTGTTTGCTTTTCTTCGGAGCGCTTTAGCCTTGCTGACGTTTTTCATTGTACAGTTAGATTCGTGTATCATTTAAAGCATGAACAGGTATACTGCATTGAAAATTTTTCTCCATTGTTCACGCTGCGTTTGTAGTATTTTCTGAGGTTCCACTTGATACGTATTCATATTTACACCATGGAGATTCACCTTCAGATGAAGTAAAACGAGCCGCAGCCCCTCCCTTGATAGTGGTACTATGTTCCCAATCTACTCTACATGTCCATAGCATTAGCAAACTGGTTTTGGGAACATCTAGTAAGATCTTTTTTTTCGATCAATACTAATGCAAGCACCAATTTTTTGCTACAAAATTCTCGCAAGAATTTGACTCTTATTCTATCTTACAAACTGCCACCGTTATAACTAACAATGCTTGTATGGTCTCCCCTCACTTTCAGAAGAGACGAGATAAACCCTGCCGCTTCATGTGACGAACTACTAGCTGATCGTGCATTATGAATGCACGATCATGCGGAGTGATGAGAGACAGTGTGCGTGTGTGTATGTAAAAACATCGATTATTTTCGTGGATCACCTGTTTTGATTACGCATTCTCATCCAGTTCAGTGTTGCACAAAACAAAACTAGGTGGGACAATCGGACCAAATAGTTCCAGATTGAATTGTGGTAGTATTGCTAGCTTATTCTTGACGTCTTGAGGGACCCAGGTGAAACATGATTTATCAGAGAAACAGAAACCAAGGTGTTCCATCCATATATTCTCGACACTTTGTTCCTCACTGCCTTATATCCTATCCGGATAATATGCCCAAGCTTCTACAAACCACATATCGGTTGAAATAATGCACACTATTACTGTTATTTGAGTCCATGCCAAAAATTTCCTTTGTTCACTGCGATGCCGAAATGTTGGGGATATTGTTAAATACGAAAGCAGTGAAAATTGTGCCAGTTGAATGGGACTGTATGTCAGTAGATCAGGGTTATGGAGACGGCTAGGTGTGAATATTTATTTTCTTACAAATGTTATGAAGTGATGACCCAAAGCTGCAACTGCATTGTTCGTCCATGGATAACTAATAACTATCAAGCTTTACCAGACTGATTTTAGTGATAAACTATCTTTATCAGGTAGGAGAACGGTGAATCCTTTTCTCAAACGCCTGAGTGGCGGCAACGTCCACGAAGGAACTGGTCGTTCCACCACAAACCAAATTCAATTCGTTTTAGCGCTTTTTTATTGGGTGCTTCGCATTGTGGAATAATCAAATAACAGAACACAGTCCAGTTTGATGTCGGAGTAGAATCAGACCAAATGACAACGCTCATCAACCAGAAACACATATTTCAAGATTATATTTACGCAGCACTTTGGGAATAGATAATATTGCAAGATGAAGTATCCAGGGCACCAGGTAGCCTTGGAATCTGTAAATCAAGCAGATCAGCTATTTTTTGGTTACCAAGGTTTTTTTGCCCCCTATTCCCCGAAAGTGATTATGAGGAAAAATTATTTTCTATATATTGTAATTAGGGAATGTTTGAACTTGTGCTAAAATGTCAGTAAACAAAACTATATCCAACAGATTCGAAGTAACCTAATATGACCCAGTAGAACTGAAAATTTTCGTGAGTAACGTGCAGATAAACTAGAAAATAAATCTTGACAGATATCATATAGCGAAAATAATGGGTAATTAATCTAAAAGTTCATTATTCAGAACATTTTTCAATGCAACGAAGTAGTAGACTTGTGAAACATTAAATAAATGATGCTCTTTCAATTGGAGATCACGGAATTTAAGCAAAAGTAAGAGTACAAGGGAAGAAAACAGAGCATGCAGAAACCGAAACGAAATGTGATAAACCAAAAAGTTATGCTCGCACACCAACTGAGAGGGAGTCATAAGAAGCCCAAATGCAAAATGTAAACGAGTGAGTATTTTACACTCCGAGGAGGTAATTGTTGTTAAGTGAGAAATTGGTGGAAAACGAGAACCAAGCGCGTAGTGTGGCTAGATGATGTAGCTGAGCAACAGTGAAAGCAAGAAAAGAAAAGCATTTCGTACGTATTTTACACACAAATTATTTGAACTGTCTAAAATCCATTGAATCCTGAAACTGGAGCAAAAAGGATACTTTCTCGCCTTTTATTTTCCCGCGTATGTGCAACAGGATCCTACTTTTGTCGAAAACGATCAATCAGTGTGTTCTTCGACCATACTGAAATAAAACAGGGCCGTCGTATAGCACTGTTGGTGCTAAATTTAGTTTTATTGAAAGGCAAAACTCGTCTACAATACAGTTATCAAGCACAATTGATAAGAGGAACTTTGGATGTTTACCTGTTCAAACTTGCTCTCCGGTTTACTTTTTCATGCTTATTTGGTAAATTTTATGATGAGTGTGGGATCCATCGCTTTGCATCCCATCTGAAATCCTGGTTTTCATATTCTGCTCCTCTCTTTCGCTCCATCAATGACGCAATTTGCAGTCCCGGTCGGCGCAGTTATCGCCATGGTCATTGGGATAATTCTGTTCATCCTGTTGTTACTGTTTTGCATTTGCAAACGTTGCGTGTTCAAACGACGGAAAAAGGATCGAAGCGCGAAGAAAAGCAAACAGGACATGCGAAACGTGCAACTGCTTGGGAAAGGATTGGCCAAGGACAAGGTAAGTGTTTTGACACACACATTCACACTCCGCGAGTACCCCCCCCCCTCCGTCCCTCCCCTTGCTCCGCTGGACATCATCACCTCATCTACCTATCCAGCTCAAACAAATCACTCAGGATTATCAGTATAAGATTAAGGAAAACATGAAATAGCAAACAAGTTTGTTTTTCATAGCCTAATCCTCTGGCTAACCAAGTAAAAGACAAAAATTTGCTTGATGCTTTGTGTGTGTATGTGTGTGCGTATGAATTTGATTTATGGACAGAGTTAGATGTTTATTTGCGGTTCAACAATAAAAATAAATATTTAGACAGCTGTATCAGGTGGGGGTGAATTTATTGAACACGGGCATGTTTGCTGTTTCTTTTCTTCTCAAATATCTCAATTTGGTCTTTCTGCCTGTGATTTTAGACGGAGTAACACTCTGAGGAATTGACTGCCTGTCTGCCTGTCTGGCTGACTGACTGACTGACTGACTAACTGACTGACTGACTGATTGATTGATTGATTGATTTGCTGACTGTTTTTCACATCTTCCGTTGTGCAAATATGCACTCAAAAATGTGCCACCAGCTTTCTTAATTATTTACGATACCGAACTCATTTGTTATTGTACAAGTTATGCTCCTACTGGAAACACAAAGATACTTCACGTTATATCACTTACCTTGAAGACTATTCTATCTGTTCACTACGAAGATATGCTTGATCAGCCTCCACATCGGTTATTTTCCGAAATCCCGTTAGCCTTGTTCCAGTCCCACATTCCAAAGCATACAATTCAGTCTTGGACCGCTTGCTCATCAATTTTTACTCCACTCAAACATCTGTTTTATCTTCTGAATAAACAAAACCATATGTTGGCAACCAAAATTTGTTCAGATATCTACACTGTCAGCCAACTGCTGGCCAAGCGAAGAATACTGTGAAGAATATTTTGCTATTCAATTACTTAGAATAGCATCTGTTATCATTAGGCATCTCAGTCCTTCCGCTCCTTTAATTGGCCCGATATTTTGTTCAACTGAATTTTATCATACTTTTATTTGATATAGTCCATTGATCCGCAAGCATCTTATCATGCATGACATATCTTTTCTTGTTTTCAGGGTGATTTGGAGGAACTGGAGGCACATATGGAAGACAACGAGGGGGTGCAGGAAAAAGAACATGTGTATCTGGGTAAACTGCAATATTCAATCGATTATGACTTCAGCCAAGGAGAGGTACGTGTATGATAGGGTGAGAGCGGAATAACATTTGTCTGGAAAAATGAACGATTAACAAAGAACTCACCCCTTTGAATACGATAACAATGATGCACATCTGAAGGTCACTACCATATTGTTCAGTCTGGGCAGATTGTTTATCCGTATCCAGCAGAGGTGGTTGTCTCCTTGACTGATTGGTTTCACTCCCGTTCAACTGATGATAAAGGATAAAAATAACATGAAATGATGAAGCTGGTGCTGAATGAAAAATAGTCCCGCTATATTTTTACGTTCCGTGTATCTGCCTTACGATAAAACCACAATTAACATTCATGAAGAATGCGCGGTTGAGTAAAGCCGACAACATGAGTACGGGAAGGCAGGGGGACGGAGGGGAGTGAATGGGATTCCCATTCATAATCTACTGGTTGATGACGATAGTCCCGCTCAAAATTCCACATGAAACCCTCAGATTGTTTTAGCATGTAAGTGATTGTTGATGAGTGCGAATAACAGTGCGGAGAGAGGAGAGCTCAAATCCTCACGAGTTGTCACGGTAAATGAAACAAACTCCAAGAGATGGTGTTATCAGTTAGTATAAATATTGTGGTTATCGTAAACCACATCCATCCCCGAAATTGTTGCTTAACCGCTTAAGGTCAACTGAACCGGGCCAGTTCTCATATCCTATCCCGCCGAATTGATCCATTACGTCTGGTTGTGTTGAAACAATTTGATTTTGACTCTATTTCACCTGCAGTTATTTTACTTTTGAACCAACTAGAGAGGAGTTTAAGAAAAAATGCACTTTGAGTGAGCCCGCATTGCAATGGTACAGGGGTTATCATTCCACAGTATTTAGTTGCACATTTCGCGTATTTGATTTAGGAATGCTTTCTCAGGTCCACAAGGCAATTATTTCATCGAGGTTTTTCTTATAAACCATCTTTCGCTCACCTAGAGCTCCACAGACAGGTTTTGTTGCTTGTAGACCAATGGGAATCAGTCTCTCATTTGAGGTGCAACTGGAAAAAATTACTCGCTAAGTTAAACACTAGCGTTTAGGAAGCTAGGTAAACAAATTTCCCCGTTGACAGACTTATCATAATCTTATCGACTGAGCAAAATGAAAGGTTTAGTTTCCTTTTTTCAGTGTAAAATTGAGAGAATGACATTAACGCCAACTCTGTTTTTCACAACTTTTGGTTAATGAGATGTTTGCCCTTTTTCCCCGAGGGTGATTACTAAGTACAGTTTACCGTATACTTTAAATCAACAACACTTTGCCGAGGATTTTTGAGAAAATCATCCACATTTGGTAGGTATACTCACGCACCTACTTTAAAAATTAAAACCTTTCACAATTTCGTAGATTTCTAATTGATATTGCTGTGGTATTTACCCCAAAACAGCTCACAGTTGGTGTGATACAAGCCACCGATTTACCCGGAATGGATATGTCTGGCACGTCGGATCCGTATGTGAAAGTGTTCCTGCTTCCGGAGAAGAAGAAGAAGTTTGAGACGAAGGTGCACCGCAAAACGCTCAGTCCAGTGTTTAATGAGACTTTTGTTTTCAAAGTGAGTGATTTGGGAGTGGAGAGTTGTTGTAATCCCAAATGCTTTGGCAACCTGATTTTCATACATATGATTGAACAACGAAGCATCATTCATGTCAAAACGGCAAGGAAATGTTTGCAATGAAGCTGTTGCAGACCCGACCAAAAGTTATGTACCGCGCTGAACGAGAACAAAGTATTCGACACTTCGACGTTTGCAACTGAGTAAACATATATGTCCTGATCGAATCGATCGGTCAATGGCAAACAATCGAGACAAAACCTGGAAAGACGATGCTGCAGTTAGAAATCAGCAGCACTGAGTACTGCGTGCGTGATCATCTGTGTGCATGCCGAAGGTATCATGCAAAATGTTCTTTATTAAGACAACCGAATTAAATTTGGACAGAACCGGTTATCTAACAAGAAGAATTCCCCCTCCGGTCAAAATTCAAATATTTTCGCATGACTGGAACGGAATGACGAACTAGATGTAATCTCCAGTATAGAATAAATGAGCAGAGCACAAGGTAAAATATCAACAAAAGAAAGTCTCGTCCGAAACGAGTAAAGATCAAATGACTTTTTCAAGTTTCATCAGTAACGAAGTACATAATGACCATGACCCTATGATATACCGGAAATAGATCAGTTAATGAGATGAAATACCACCACTTGGATGAAATACACCGCTGAATACATTTCACCACCCCACCCCCCAGACAAAACTTCAATCTGACAAGTCAGTATTTTTCCACAGTCATTAGCAGAAACAACGACCCATCGACTCATGGTGTCGAGGCACTGGTAATGCAAATATCGTCAGTCTACTCACAAGTACTATAACATAAAAATGATAAAAACTGAGGAGTGCATCAATGTCAAGTCAAAACATTTTCAGCTAAAAAAAAACTAAAAAATACGACTCAAATTGGTGATATCCTACATCTACTCTCCTGATGTTACTGTTAGTCCGTTGGTAACTCAACGTCCCCTTCTTAATTTGGTGGAATAATCACGAAAATGAACAAAAGACTAAAGTCAACACTATAAATGTTCTGTTAAGAAAATTCAAACACTGACATCCTACGACAAACTTAACCAGACATTATGGAGAATGCAGGAAATTCTTTCGTATACTCTCAGCAGTAATAAACTTATCAGACTTACATCATTTTGGCAGTACATGACTATAGATGAGATAAAAGCTATTAAGGTGAAACTATATGAAAAGGGGCAGTTTCGGACTACTGCACTCCGTCCTATGAAATAATGACTGCCTTCAGTAATTCATTCCTTTTCCCCATAAAATTAAAGTAAATAAAATAAACAAATGTATAACCCAAGGAAAACAAAGGCCTGATTTAGAACTCAATATGTGTTCTATCGACCCTGCTCAAAGAAACCAATGATTCATCAACTTTTCGCGTACTCAAAATCTTCTCTTTCTAAGAACAAACATGACTTTTACAGAGCCTTTGATTAGTGACGGATTTGCGGTCAAATGTTTAATCGGAAATGAGTCACCATTTAGGTGGAAATTTCTCTAACAATTCATTATAGTACTGTGCTGCTTCGAGTCAGTTGAATATGTGTCAAAATATGAAACTTAACGATAAAGGCAAATATTGTAGTGAAGATTACTCATACAATCCCATAAAATGAGGTCCTCTTATTTTGTGCCAATATTACATATTTATGCAAACGATTGAATACGTTCACCTAAGTGTAGAAAATTAATCAAAGGAACTTGTTTGAACAAGCACTCTGAAGCAAGAATATCAAAAGTTTACAAAAAATAAATGCCTTCCCATCGAAGGTACACAAACGATTCGCATAGTTGCAACTGCAAGCGTCACTTGGAATTCATTGTAATGAAGTTTTTTTTGATCGAGGTGAGTGATTTCATCAACCCACACACTTGCACTTCAGGTCCCATATGCTGAGGTTGCTGGTAAGACATTGGTGTTCAATGTTTTCGACTTCGATCGCTTCTCCAAGCACGATCAAATCGGACAAATTCAAGTTCCATTGGGCTCAGTCGATTTGGCCCGGGTGATTGAGGAATGGAAAGACCTGAATCCGCCAGATGATGACGAGAAGGTAAATGAACGAGTGTGCATGCGATCTTTCCTGACGGTTATCATAAAAGGCGATCGACCCATAGTGTGATTGCGAAAAATCGATGGTGCTGAATTCATTTGTTTGTTTTGTTCATGGAAAGAAATCCTTTTATTTCCTCACAGTTGCACATTTCATGCCAAATCTGAGTTTACTATGTGATCCAAACATGTTGGAAATAACTAAGAGTGTCTACCACATTTCTTATGTTCGGTGCATTCTACAGGCATCATAGCAGAACCAGTTATTGACCGAAATAATAGACATACATATATATCCGGACCAGCTGATCAATCCAGAGCGAGTAAACTGAAATAAGAATAAGATTATGACTGTTGTGGCCTACAAGTGACTGATTTGTGTTCATATATGCCTGTGGCCAAATTGATTGATCGATCGATCGGTTGATCGATTGACTGACTGTTTGGATGCTGGCATGACGACATTGGCATGTAGCGCGACGTGTGAGCTGGTGTCGGCCTGCCTGCTTGCCATTCCTACACGGCGCTGCTTGTTCCCCCGTTTGTGAACCGGCTACAAATTTGTCGTTTACAATAAACGTACTGCATTAATTCGTTGTATGCTCATTCACCTACTTAACTTGGAACACAACAGTGACCACAATAAGCAAATTATTCCTCAAGTAAAGGTAAAATAAGGAAGTGAACAGGGAACCCCGGATTATTTCACAGCAAGATAAGCGTGGATTTGGCCTCCCAAACTGTGCCACCCACCTAACCAAAAATGTTCTACTTGAATTAATTTTTAGAAACCAAGTAAACAACAAGCAGTACCGTAGATTAGAAAAAAGAAAAGAACAAAAAAAGCTAGCACTCACAGCACTTCGAAAAGAGGTCTGTTTGTTGCAGGAGAGGAGTCAGGTGAACGGATGCATGAAAAGGTGTTTACTTTGGTGGGAATAACAAATTGAACGGGTCGGAGAGCGAAACCACTACTGGTATGACTTGGGGAAATAGTAACAGTAATTCGGTGAAAAGATCTCAGTGGTAAAGGCTCACTGCCAATGNCCAATGTGAAACTCATTTCGAAACACCACCTACTTCCGATAATGTCATTGAGTGGTCAAGTGAAGACTGATTCCATCAGAAAGATGCCGCTGTTCACAGATGGCTATTACTCCGAGGTGATGCATCTTAAATCTGTACATCACAGAGGGCCTTTGAGGCATTCAAATCCGAAGGCTGTAGTAAACTGTGCAAACGGAAGATTTGAACTCTGGTGGTTATACCATCTTAGGTCGCGGTTTTTCGTCGTCTGGGTCGTATCAAAGTGATACTTTCCAGCTACCAAACTGTAGATTGTCTGGTCACAAGAACTGTTTTCCATACTCTCACAATCACTGGGGCACACACCTTAAACAATATATCGTGGTAAGTGCTTGGCGGTTGCGATCACCACGAAATAAAACAAGCCTTGATTGAAAATTGAGTCACTGCGTCTGCGCGCATGCCATGACTATTACAACATCAAACCAGGGTTACACTAGTAACGCAGCATCACTTCAAGCGATCAGGTGACCAAGGCTAAAAACCTATGAGCGAAAGCTCGAAAACGTTGACCCCGCAATTGTGAGCAATTATGTACAGAGCGCCCTTCTGAGAACAAGGAGAAACATCTATTCACAAGCAAATGTCCTAAGAGAACATGGTTAAAATTTGAACAACGCGATGTTCCGTAGAGAGCATGACCAAAAGGTGAGCCAAGGATCTGAAACGGAACTGTCACTCAATACTGACTCCCGCGGCCGATTTAAGTAACACTGTGTATGAGCTATTAAACGTTGGAAATTCCTATTTTATGATTTAACCCGGATAAATTCTCATTAATCTTAAAATGCATATGCTCTGTTTATTCATAATGCTTTCCAAATTTGGGGATAGTCCACCATCTTTTAACCGACTGCTCAATTACAAAAGTGCATTAATCAATTCCAGAGGCAGAATTGAACAGCAACTATGAGGTGACATCATGTCTACTCCTTAAAGGTAGAGTAAAGTAACTAATTCATGCCATATAGCTCTTATAATCCGTATTGTTACTATAATAAAAGTAAATGTTTTTACTTTTTTTATTGAGAACACAAACGTACAATCAAATTTCTGGAAGGGCGTAGCTGGATGGGGAAACACAGAAATGGGGAAGGTGAGAAGTTTTACTCCGGTTCAATTGATAGAATCTCCACGACCTATTGACTGTGGTCTTCAATTCTCTTATTCATAGGTTACTGATTATCCCTAGATTCATGTTTGTGCCTAAAGGGAAATTTGTAATCCAATAAAAAGACTAATGCTACTGAAGTAATTTATTCATATTGTGGGTATGCTTAACAACGTACATAGACCGTGGGTCATATACACACTATACTCGACCCATTCTATTATGTTAGTTTTATTTCTGAATAGTTTATGGATCTGCCAAAAATCCACTCTTGACATTCTGTTCTACAGGAAAATCGGTTGGGTGACATCTGTTTCTCTTTGCGCTACGTCCCCACCGCTGGAAAGTTGACGATCAACATTTTGGAAGCAAAGAATCTGAAGAAAATGGATGTCGGTGGTTTATCGGGTACGTCCTTTTCAGCTCCTCCATCGATGTGGTGTTTATTTGCATAATAGATAGTGAACTTTTTTCCAATCAATTCTCAGGCTTGTAGCTTACGTCTATAAATCATCACACCTGATTCGAATTACTGATTGGGAACTGCAGCATAATAACGAAGAAATTATGATCTAGATTATAAAGAGAGTTGCACCGAGTAAACATGTCGATGAAGCTATTTTCACCCAATTCATATGATAAAATGAGCCCATTTTGGATCCTTGTTTTATTCATCGGAATTCAACTATGAAATAAAAAGACTTCGAAAAATCAGGCTGTGAAGCGGACTGAGAGATTCGATGTTTCGATTCGGGAAAGTATATTGCGTCAAGATTCATTTGGTAACAGATAACTGAAGCGAAGGTATCAAATAGTCCCCAAGTTTTATTGATCTTTTCGTACAAATTTACTTTATGCCCGTTGGAATTTAACAAAACGATACCTAATATTCCCTTAAATTGCACTGTTTCAGTCTTTCTGCTCATCAGTAGTTGATGAACAAATGACTAAAGGCCATCAAGATTGATGTGAATATCCGATCGATGGCCATATTATGTAATTGTTGAAGCGCCAGTCTTTCTATCTCATCCCACCTTGCTTGACAATAATTTTTTATTTCAAATTTATCTCTCTGAATGGCTCTTTTTTTCAGATCCATACGTGAAACTTTCCTTGATGCTTGGTGGAAAACGGATTAAGAAGAAGAAAACAACTATCAAGAAGTGCACCTTGAATCCTTATTACAATGAGTCATTTGCTTTCGAGGTGCCATTCGAACAAATTCAAGTATGTTTCCTTGAATCGATTTTCTATATCACTGAATCGTGTTGGTGTTTTGGGTGGACATTCTTGGAACAATTAAACGCCGTTTCGTTGGCAGTGTGATTAAAGCTTTCGGTTGCTTTTGGGTTAGGATGTACCAGGGGTTTAAACTTACTTTGGTTTCGCATTAGTACATAAGTAAGACCACGTTATTTTGTTTCTAAGGTGGAGAATTAATGCTTATTTAGTTTTGTGGGACAAAAGGATACCTTTGCAGGTTACCTAAAACTTTCAGCAATCTAAGAAACTTCTGGCGTAGAGGGATTATTCAAACACTTTAACTAAAGATATTTTACGAGCGACGCACGTCTAAAGCAACCAACTTGAGAGATATAAACTCTGAATTGTTTAACTGGGAAACCCGGTTGGTGCTTTGAAATTTTATTATTCACGTTCCACATCAAATCATACGAACATTCGATCACATACAGCTGATTCTCATACGCACAGCAGGACGATGAGCAACTGATGTCAATGCTTTCACTTCATTAGTTTCGGTCGGATGCTTGCAAGTGGCGCACCGGTTCAACGTTCTTCATCGCTAAGAACGATACCTTCATTAGTATTTTCGTCGTTGGATTATCCCCGGCGTTGCCTCCACGGCAAGCTACATTTTGCCCGAAAGGCAAGTTTTCATTCTTAACCGAAGTGCTGCTTGGTTTTCTGCGATTCGAAGGCAAATTACTCCGGCCCTGATTGCTGGGTTTTAAACCTTTGAGGTTTATTCTGCCCACCGCAAGCAAGCTTTTTCGTCCTGGACAAAAATGGATTTCAGTGTCATTCCCTTCATCTTCATAGAAAACCACGCTTTAATTCACATATTTGATCAAATTTACAGTCCATATTCAAATAAGGCTCTAGGTGACACAGTTTCCATTGGCAGACACCGACTGAGGCAAGAGGATTCGTCAAGGAATGAGGCATCACCCACCATGAATAAACTTTTGAACTTGTCTCCGACATCTTACCCATAGAACAATGATCCAGAGAGCCAAACGATTCCATTTTGTTCTCTTTCATTCCAGAAAGTGTCACTCATAGTGACCGTAGTTGATTATGATCGTATCGGCACTTCGGAAGCTATTGGTCGCGTCTGTCTGGGCTGCAATGAGACCGGCGCTGGACTTCGTCATTGGTCGGACATGTTGGCCAATCCACGTCGTCCAATCGCCCAGTGGCACACGTTGCAACCGATGCCGGAAAAATGAATCGGTCATTCGTGGTCTGCACCAAAAGGATGGTATATGGAAACTATTCCGCGCTTGATCGGACTATGTTTGTCCCTTGTTTTTCTGTTGGCGTTGCTGTTTCCTCTTAAATAACAAGCAGTGATCAGTCCTACGTACCAGACAGGTAACTATCCATCATGTCACCTTGTCACTCTCATGAACGTTATCACGTAAGTCTACGTGACTGTTAACAACTCGGAACTTTATAAACGTCTCCGCCACCACCACCCTCCCCCCCNCCCAACAACATGAAAATTATCAACATTTACCCATGAGCAGCATCTCGAATCACTATCGTACATCCTCTGTTGTTTTTCATTGAGACGTCTTAGATAAGCGTCTCTTGTGAGGATAGCCATCGAGACAAGGAGAGCGGGAGTACAAACCTCTGACCGAACAGCAATCCACTGTCAAGATGTGATTCACGACAATCAACATGTCTTAACTCTTATCCATGATACACACACTATCACAAACACGTACTATTTATTGTTCTCCATTATCAATCTCCTTGGTCTATTTCGGGCCTTACGCTTTGTCCTCCCTGACCGGCCAACATGAATCAGCTGTGCACTAGTCAATGGGAACATTACATAACATGGTCAATCTCAGAGTTGTCCACCAGTTTTTCCCATAAGGTTAAACAAGCGTATATAACAAACGTTTCAACCATATAAATGCATTTATATATATATATATATACATATATTTAGAAAACTCCGGAAGCTCATAACCCCCACCCCACCCCGACCCTACGGTGAAATTTCTTGACGTTTGAGGGTGACAATTAGACAAAGAAGAAGAAGAACGCACACTGTGCAACTAGCTTCCGTTCTCTCGATCATCCTCCTCCCCCCCCCCACACACACACACACCTCATATCACTCTTCCGACTGTCGCAATAGTCTCTCTATACTCACCCCCTCTCCTCATTTTGTGTGAAGTTCGGAATTGTGGACCCACCGGATCCGAAGAACCGGATTATTCTGACCACACACACACACACATTCAGCAACTAGCTGCATCTGGAACAAAAGCAGTTACTTCAATTCTTTAAATTCAACCTCAACGTGGGTGGAGCGATTCTTCGTAGACGGAGCAATAATGTCAAACAGAAAATAGCATACTATTGTTGTCAGGTTCAAGCACATATACATAACCAATGGCAACTTCACTCCCAACCCTACAACATGCGCGTAAGTATCCTTATGTCTTTGTGTGTTGGTGAAAATGAAACCTGTGTTACGTCACCATTTCCTCCTGTCACTTATCTCCGCTGTCTGATATCGAGTTTCCTTGGACAGTCAGTCTTGTTGAACCAAAATCCACAAGCTATCCCATCTTAGTGTTGTTTTTCGTCTTGATGGAGACACTACCACAAAACTTCTCTCCAACTTCCATTACAACACGACGCTAATCAATCATGTTTCTCTGTCGACTTATCACTCACTCTGTCCAGTCCCTTACAGATTTCTGTGACCCATTTCATTCATCATCACAAGTTTCACATTGTTTTTCCGTTGTTTACTCGTTTTTTTGCAATTTTCGCTCTCTGCCTCTATCTCACTCACTTGCTCCCTTCCTCTCTATCTCTGTCTCTCTGTTCCCTTCCATCAACCTTTCTAACACTTGTCCGCTGAACTTTACCCCAACTGTGTGGCACTCATTGTTGTCCCTTAATTGCGCGTCGGTCACCTTTCGGCTGTCTATTGTTGACAACTTTTTGAGTGAATTCTAACATCTTGACTTATCCAATCACAAAGAAGATAAGGGGTCATGGTAAACTAACAGCACAAACACACTGATACGTTCCTGTAAGCTGAAAGCAAGTAGGATTTTATTTCAAAACTCACCTATCCTGGGGATTATCAAGATACGAATCTGATCGTATCCCAGCTGCGTTTTTGTTTGCCATACCCCTTGCCCCCCTGCAAAAGTTAATAATAATAATATTATTAATACTAATAATAATGAAGTAAAATAAAATAAAACCATGCTAATGCTCATTCACTCCAATTCACGCTCCTCATCATATCAGATGAAGAGCTAAGCTGTAGGTGTGGAATAGGACATCCCACCAAGCCATTCGAAGACAATGCGAAGTAAGAAAATTTCCGATGGGTTGTGGAAAATAAACAATAGAGAAATCGTGCTACGTCCAATCAGTCATATGAAAAAAATTATTTCCAAAGAAATCACGCCGTAATTTAGTCTTCGGTATGTTTCACTTATTGAACAGTAACTACTGTACGGTTGCTCCATCGCTTCACATAGTCCTTTCCCGCTGATCCTCGAAGCGATCTGACTGGATCATTTTCCGCGATTTGCGCAACTTGGAATCTTCCAACCTGACGTGAGACTGTGATCACCTGCTCCTAATGCTTGTGACACTTATGTCACCTGTTGTCCAGTTGTGTGATACTAGCACACCTGCTATGCACCGTCGTAGGATCTACGTAATGAAAAATGCATCGCTCGAAGTACACAGTAAGCATCCTTCATTGTATTTACTGTGGTAAGCTTTGACGATTGAGCTATCGTCAATATTCCAGCAACTGCAACCAGTTTTGCCTTAGCCGTAGCACGCAAATCGCAAGGCTTCACCGACCCACCGAATAAACGTCCGTCAGCGAGCTTGACAACATGCGCAACTGAGGCCTACCTCTTGTCATATCGTTTGAGTGAACTCTACTTCGAGACCATAAAATCGAACATTGTGGTCCAACGTATTGTGTACAGAAACTCCTGTCTAGCTGCCGGCATGTGATCAGAGAATATTCTCCCGTTCAACATCGAACAAACCTTTTACAGCTTAAAAATCCGTGCTAATACTTCCTTTTTCTTTGTTTCTACGAAACTAATCTATCGATTTTATACACAGCCATACGACTGCCACCAGGAAATTCGTGTAACGAAAAGGTTCCCATTCCGTAGTCGGAAGTGTCAGTTTCAGTTTGAACAACCATTACCGCCGGTTTTGGTTTCTGCCTTTTGGCTGCCCATTTGGAGGAACCGTGGGAGAAAGACGGAATTTGAAAGTAGAGTCGAATCAAAAATGGATAATTTCAGTTGACTAATGTTGCAAAGAAATTGAGAAGATGCACGAACTTGGAAGTGTTAAGGGTCACAAGCATAGGTAACTGGGTTATAGTGGTTAAGAAGTAAACCGAATGTGAGAACCGCAACGTATGCGTCCTGATAGGTAGTCGACCAGACCGATTTGGTGTTTGCGTCAGCAATGGGTTGAGCGCGGGTCGCAGGTGTTACATCTGTCGTACAATAGTGAGATTGCCATTTACATGTTCGAGAAAAAATTGTCATGTTTCTTTATTGGTGCTGGCAGGCATTCACTCTACGGTGATAATTATATTCGATTACGTCTTCTACCAGTGCTATAGACTTTAACATCCAAATCGGATAAGTCTTCTAATTTCCTTCTTCACACTCATTACGGGACCTAAATAAATAAGTGACCAAAAATAGCTTATACCATATAGTGCAAATCAGCGCCGTTGGGGTGGAAGTTCTAAACCCTACTGGGAATTCAACTGCCGTAACGCATCCAAATATTTTATATGCTCATCTGTTGTTTAACTAATGAAAATAACATCGTCCAGGTACGCCATCTCAAACGTGGGACCATCCAGCATTGTGGACATTTCTTGTTAAAACAGTGCTGATTAGAATTTAACACCAAAGGGTAGAAGGTCTTAGTGATATAGTCTGCTATGAGTGTGCTTACGGCAAATAACCACTTCTGTTCGGCTTCAACATCAAATTGAGAAATAAAACATTGATCTAGTGCCGGAACATTGATGTGAAAATGTTTTTGTTTTACAGCGTAAATTAAGACCGCCAACAAAGTTAGGATAGTCAGTTTTAAACATCAGACAACAACGCTATGTGCCAAACAGTTCAATGATTCGCCAGTGGTCCATTGGCATAACTTGGTGAAAGACTTAGAGTGAGAGGAATCACAATCGCACTGAAAGGGAGAACCAGGTCAATTTGTCTACCGAATCGAAGCCAAATCGGCTCAAATGGCCAATTTCGGATATCTTAAAAGTATCACGAGGAAGGGTGTGACGAAATAAAAAATTACTATTGGAACTCATCTACCAATGGTTGTTGCTTTTCATAAACAGCCCGGTTAACACAAATGGCTTGCTAAATTAACTGGTGCCGGGGAGGATACTCACATTAAACTCTGTGCCGAATTGCAATTTCACTATCCGATCATTGATGTGGATGGGAATGTATTTTCGGTGGCACTTGCAACCGAGGGCGAAAATGAGGTTTGAGGAACTATGACGTCTGTTTTTGGTACGATAGCGAAAGGTGGGTTTTTCATGACACCTATGTAGCCTGCATGCGTTAAAATCAACTCAAATGCTACTGTCTGCAGTGTCAACGAACAGTAGGTGATCTGTTTTGAAAGATAGAGTAACAAACCAGTGTTATTTTGGATATGGTTAATACACTGAATTCAATAACTGGTAGGACGACGGTTTTGCAAGGTAATCTTATCATCATGTTTTAAATAAATAAGCGTTAGCACTAACCACTAATTTCTGTACTGCTATTTCTGTGTCGGTTTCGAGTTTGAAAAATAGCCGCATTCGAATGTCATCTCAGTGGAGGAAACGGATAAAAAAGAGGGTTTTATACCTATCATGAAGGAGACCTTGCAGTTTGAAGAATTCACATTTACGATTACCACGACTCAAGTGCGAGGTGAAATCTTCCTCTGCAGTCTTAGTGTTTTTTTTCAAACATTGATATAGTGTATTGGACAAGGACGATCGTCTACTAAAAACTACGGCAAAATGTTTTATGGTTTCTCCCAAGCCAAGGTCTCTTGGGTGATTAAGGAGCACGAAATTATGTTCTTCAAACTCCACCTGGCCTGGTTAACGTAGAAGTCATATCCGTCCGGCGTGGTCTAGAGTAGCTCCATAAATCTTAGGTACATAGTCGTATCTGTGACACCATATATCAAAGCGATGCCGTCATCAGTGAGATAATGCAATTCACTAGTGCTTTGAGCAGTAGTTCGTCAGTTGACACAGCTTTGAGTTACTGGTAGAGAAATCCGCTGCATCTAAATTGGAAACCATCCCTCCTGTTGATTGAATGAGTGCTGCCAACGTCCCGCTGCAATAGTAATTTTCCGCAGTCTCTAGATTGTTGTTTCTCAATAATCTTGATAGCCGTCGGTCAGGATGAACGTAAATAACTGAACTACAGCTTTTTCAATTAAAGATGTCCGAATATCAACTTCAGATGTTCCGTTTCTATGTGGATAGCACGACAGTGCCATGGCCCCAACGTTTCACTTTGTCTTGTACGCATTTCAATACCCCTGTTGTCAAGCTCAGTCCATCCGTGTGGTGATAGCAACCCTCCTGTAAAGTCGAAGTTCACTGGGGCTGCTAAAGACTCGCGGCTGTAGACAAGTTGAAGTTTGGCACTCCGGTTAAGCACCGGATCCCCGCTTCGGTTGCGTTAATCGTCACCAGGACATAACGCGCCCCCTACTGTGTTTGAGTGTTCTTCTTGAACTTCGGGATAACGGCAATTAATTATGGTATATAAGAACAGGATTACGATCAAAGAATCACTACATTGGTATTCATCACCGGTTACAAACGTGCCCATCGTCTTTGGAACCACGATCATTTTTCATTGATTGCTCTGTACTACGGGAACAAGGAAAACCTTTCACTGACAGTGAAGGAATTCAACAACCCTTGTGCAAAGAGGAACATTAAAAACGACGCCAAAAAAACGATAGACAAAATCAAATCTGCCGGAAATGTACACGATGGGAAAGACAACGAAAATTCAGGAACAAAAAAGGATGAATGCGTATATTCGACGTGAGACAAATCGAATACCTCACAGGACGCAAACGCAAGCCGACTAAAAAGGCAACATTGCACAATACTGGCTGATCAAGTATAAAAATAAAAAAATCGTCCACTAAAACCGATTCAGCTACAGGAACGTCATCCCATTCATTAAGAGCTCCGACTAGAATTTTGCACATGGTTCCTGGCACACTTGAATGTGTGGCAAACGGTTTTCACGGATGAACCCATTAGTAATGTGAACGGAAATGCTACAAACTCCATTCGTTCGGTCCATGGAAACCCAAGACACTCTGTTGGCTCCAAATCGCCACATAGTCCCAAGGTGTTGGTACGGGTTAGGATTATGCACGGCGAGATTGTCGGACCGTACTTTTTCACCGGAAACGTAACAGGTGGGAACAAGTTTGCTTATTGCATTGTTCAGGGTGCCTCATAATTGCAAATGGTACAAGATACTTTGGTACCTGCCATCTGGCGTATAGAAACCGAAGGTGGTCCCACAGTTTTGTTCCAACATGACGACACACCGCCACACACTGTTCTGCTGGTGAGGTGTTTCCTCGATTCGCAATTTAACTGCAAACGGATTTTCCGAGGAGGATCAAAAGGATGACCTCCAAGATCACTTGATTGGTCTTCCTTCGATTTCTTTCTGTGGCCTTATCGAAAGTGAACCGTTTATTCCCCAAAACTGAGAACAATTGAGGAGCTAAAACAGAGTAACGTCGCACAGTGTGAAGGTATTCTGAATGTGGAAGAAAACTATCTTCACCGTGTTTTGCTATGCAAGCAGCAGAATGGAAAACATATTGAACAACTTTTATGAAATAAATATGCATTTTTCCATAGTGTTTGTTCTCTTCTCCGGAATTCCATCTCCGACGTAGTTAGCAAGATCGTTCAACGCGAACAAAAAAAACATTTGGTGATATTCCAAGAAGAGTTTTGTGTTGGCCTATATTGGTGGATGTTGTAGTCCGTACTTAAGACAAGTTCAAAGTTTTATTATGATCATTCATTTACCAAACCCGCTTAGAAAAATAGTGCGTTCGCCCAGTGTCATCATCACTTGAACATTTCCCGTTCCGAATTCCCGACATGACGCATCGTTCCATAACTGATTCTACTGTGGCGATTCTCTACCAACACTTGAGCAGCATCGGATTCAGAACTTATCCTCCTTCTGTGCCGGCCTGAAAATCACACGACCGATCGGGATCATTTATCGATCGGTCGGATAGTTCAGCCGCAACAACGGACTTGGTGCTTGTCCGGCTAACCCGAGCGAGAAACCACACTTTATCTACAGCCGCGAGACTTAAGCAGGCCCAGTGAGCTTCCACTGTACATCAGGCGTGCCATCACCACACGATTGGACTGGATTGGAATTGACAACAAGAGTATCAAAAAAGTACAAGACAATGTGAAACGATGGAGCGATCACACTATCCTACTATCCACATAGCAACATGACATCTTAAAATGAAAAAGGCATTGCATGAATTGTCTGCAATTATGCAAAATCATTTTACAGGGCAGACACAACATACATACAAATGAATGAAACAAGGGACTGATCAATAATCGCGAAGTACAACAGGACAGCCGACCAGACACATGTGGTCCGGTGATAGTGTACTGACATCGGTTTCACAGATTGTGGAGGTCTGATTAAAAATCTTACCACATATCGCTTTTGCGGCTTGCATCACGCATGCGAATTCAATTGATACGTGATGGCGGACAGAACAGCTTGACGATCCGGTGAACAAGCCCACTACTTCCGAGGTCGGTTTTCGCACGCCGCATCATAATCTTAACATAATAACGCGACATCTTAAATTGATATCGGGACATCTTGCATTGAGGAATACAGATCAGGTCCGTTCAGAATAATCAATATCATATTGGAATGAACGGAAACTCAAACATAGACCGAAGAGATTTTCAAACGGATATTAACCAACAAATCACATAGGATATCGAGTGGTAACATGCGACAGCAGGTGGAAAAACAAATTTACAAAATGGCAACACATCGAAACTGTCTTGCTCCAAACGTTTTCTCCGACGCACCTGTAGTCTTATTGCGTAGAGAATGGAAGACAGAACAATTCACATCCTAACGGTGGCACTAGACATTCAACGGCCAAGATTACCAGGACTCCCAATCTCTGAGTGATGAAATAACTAAATTTATACCTTCTGAACAAAGCTTATCGAGCACACAGCATCCGTTTATTTCTCTCTTCGTAGGAGGCATTGACCAATGAGCTGTGTCTGTGTACAGAACAGTCTAGTGCAAAGAGTGAGCAAAATCCTCCTGACTCAGTTCAATTTGCTTTTGTTTCCATCCTTGCCTCGACCAAATTGAGAACAACTCGTGGTTGAACTATATTTTTTATTCCATTTAATAAATTTCCAATAACTACCCCCGTCGCGGTGGCCGAGTGGTTAAGGCGTTGGACTTGAAATCCAATGGGGTTCCCCCGCGTAGGTTCGAATCCTGCCCGCGACGTCAACTTTTGGTAGTCGTTGCATGGCTTACCGCATAATAGCAAATGATTTCAAGCACTGTAAATTCACACAATTGGTACCCGAGGCTTACTAATGGCATTGGTTCAAGTCAGAAAAGCATGCAGGGGTATACAGCGGGTCCACCGTATTCAAGCTGGGAGCAAACATGGCAGACGAACAGCTTCTTGAAGGCCGTGATCGATAGGCCGTCAAACGACCGACGGATTGCAGCTAGCATGCTCCTTGCCGCAGAACATGCTCGCACGGTGTTCATCTGGGTCTTCTGGATGAGGAGATAGATGATGACTCACAAATCCCGCTCAGTTGCCGTCGAACGCAGCGAGACGTTGTTCAGTTGATAAGGAATGTCCAGTGTCTCTCGTCCCAGGCGCATATGTGCGCATTTCGACGAATTCACTGCAAATTCCCAGTGGAGTAACTTATCCAAATCCAATTGGAGGGCATGGTGGTCCTCCGGTTTTCTCGTGACTCGCCACAGTTTCACGTCATCCGCGTAGAGCAGACAAGGCAAGTTTAACCGGGAGGGCAAGTCATCCACGAAGAGAAGGAACATTACCGATCCTAGGACCGAACCCTGTGGCAATCCACTAGTGAGTGGATAGCGACGCGACTCAGTCTGGGCAACTCTCACGCTAAACGTCCATGACCCTGAGCGCCGACTAGAATTTTGCACATGGTTCCTGGCACACTTGGATGTGTGGCAAACGGTTTTCACGGATGAACCCATTAGTAATGTGAACGGAAATGCTACAAACTCCATTCGTTCGGTCCATGGAAACCCAAGACACTCTGTTGGCTCCAAATCGCCACATAGTCCCAAGGTGTTGGTACGGGTTAGGATTATGCACGGCGAGATTGTCGGACCGTACTTTTTCACCGGAAACGTAACAGGTGGGAACAAGTTTGCTTATTGCATTGTTCAGGGTGCCTCATAATTGCAAATGGTACAAGATACTTTGGTACCTGCCATCTGGCGTATAGAAACCGAAGGTGGTCCCACAGTTTTGTTCCAACATGACGACACACCGCCACACACTGTTCTGCTGGTGAGGTGTTTCCTCGATTCGCAATTTAACTGCAAACGGATTTTCCGAGGAGGATCAAAAGGATGACCTCCAAGATCACTTGATTGGTCTTCNGATTTCTTTCTGTGGCCTTATCGAAAGTGAACCGTTTATTCCCCAAAACTGAGAACAATTGAGGAGCTAAAACAGAGTAACGTCGCACAGTGTGAAGGTATTCTGAATGTGGAAGAAAACTATCTTCACCGTGTTTTGCTATGCAAGCAGCAGAATGGAAAACATATTGAACAACTTTTATGAAATAAATATGCATTTTTCCATAGTGTTTGTTCTCTTCTCCGGAATTCCATCTCCGACGTAGTTAGCAAGATCGTTCAACGCGAACAAAAAAAACATTTGGTGATATTCCAAGAAGAGTTTTGTGTTGGCCTATATTGGTGGATGTTGTAGTCCGTACTTAAGACAAGTTCAAAGTTTTATTATGATCATTCATTTACCAAACCCGCTTAGAAAAATAGTGCGTTCGCCCAGTGTCATCATCACTTGAACATTTCCCGTTCCGAATTCCCGACATGACGCATCGTTCCATAACTGATTCTACTGTGGCGATTCTCTACCAACACTTGAGCAGCATCGGATTCAGAACTTATCCTCCTTCTGTGCCGGCCCGAAAATCACACGACCGATCGGGTTCATATTTCGTTGAATGGATTACATCGCCGTTCATGTTTTTCGTGGCAGTTGTTGTGTGTTTGCTCCGTCGGGAGCTTCATTATGAGGTGTAGCGTTTTAGGTTTCCTGGTGTTTCTAAAATTTTCGAGTTTTTCTCGGTATGAACGCTTGTGACCCAAGAAAAATTTTCACGTATTGGAAATGCTACGCGTGGGTATTTTCGCTGTTTGTTTTATTATTGTTTTTGCTAACCGTGGTGCGAGTTCTATTCTATCCTAGTACTTCACTTCATACGGTCTCAGACCTCTCCTTACTGTTTCAGTTGTGATATTCAATATATTTACTGTTCGGCTCGAGCAACGGTCTCCCGGTGACTTGTATGCATTGCACGTTTCGGGTAAAGGTGGCTTTTACACTGCCTCCATTGTGAATTCCTCCTTGTAGCCTGAGCTGTCGAGGGGATTCAGGCGCATTCCTAACTTTTACACAACGTTAATTTGTGTCCACTGGTCCTGCTTTATCATTTATATGGAAATGATTTCTAGGTTTACCTGTAGGACGTATCGTCCCGATGAGTCTGCAACTATTTTGTCGTCGTCGGTATATATGAAGCACTGGTTTTCGATCTGCTTTGCAAGGTCGTTGATAAATACACAGAATGCGGGTTATACTAGAATGGACGCCTGAGAAACCCCACTGGTTTCCTTTCCCTCGTTGATTACCATCACCTAATTCTCACTTATGTTTTTTTGGAGGGGGATGGCTATTCGGCTATATGCCTGGATTGGTGCTCCGATTTTTTCGTAATTTAGCGAGCAGTAAGCTGTAGTTCACAGAGTAGAAATATTTTAGGAATTCAACCGTTTGTCTTCATTTCTGTCACCTTGATAAACCACTTGGCGGCAGGCTTTCGATTGAATGGTCAAGTATGTCTCTCTTCGTTGTTATCAGGCTAACAATGAACGGAATATAACGCAGACGACACCTAAATCAACACGAATTGGAAATTCGGTTCGGTACTAATACGATCGAGTTGGCACAGTGGTAACACACACGCCTTCCGTGCAATGGGTCTGGAATTCAAAGCCCGGACGGGACGGTGGATATGCACCACTGGTGACCCGTAATAAGAGCGAAACTCAAGTCTAGTGCTTCAGAGTGTTTCACTTGTTTCACTGGATTAACTGAGGATTGGGCGTGAAGGTGAAGTCTGAAAGGCAGTTAGTTCAAATCAATAACACTTATTCCACAGCACTAATCGCTAACAATTGAGTTAGATGTGAACCGCTTGAGGTTTGTCAAACAGGATCGATCCTTGAAGAATCTGTGTTACGCTTTCGAAAAGAACTGCCTTTCTAGTAAGAATTCCCCAGGGTTTTTCCTTACTACATGGTCCATTTATTTACAGGTGGCACTTGTCAAGCTTAGCGAAAGATAATGCATTATTTTGACTGTATCACCCTTCTTATGGACGAAAGCTCGGTGCCAGTCGGCTAGTGTTGATTTTGCTGACAGCTTTAGAACCGCGGGGTTCGTGTTGTCAGTTTAGTTCAGAGTAGACACCACTGACAGAAATTTGTCGGTCCCTATATGCCTGTACGGGTTGCACGACACTACAACTTCTTCATCAATCGTGGTACTCACGTTTATTCAAACTCGAAATAAGGTTTGAAAGTGGTCGTTGAATGTGTTTGTGAATACTCTAGTTAGTGTCTAAGGTTGTTGTGCCTAAACACGGACAAGCCTATGAACTTTTGAGACCTCACCTGCGATTTGATACGCGGATAGAATCCTTTCGTATGCGTTTATTTTCTCTGGTCAAATAAGGGTTTCCGTTTTTGTTTTCGTTCCATTTTTGCGACAAGCATATCTTTCAACGCCATAACAACCTGTTACAAGGTTTCCATGTGCAGCATGCCCCCGGTTGCCTAGCTGGGATCACAAGAGCCGTTTATCATAGCATCGTGGTCGATTTCGCTACACAGTCTGCCCATCATGCATGTAGGAGCGAATATCTCCAGCATTAGATCGAACGCGATTACCGTGTGATCACTGTCCGAGTAAGCTTCTACAGCATGTATTTTAAATCTCAATCGAGATCCTGGTGATTGATAACTCTACGATAGACTGTCTCGGTGTCTCCGGATAGCCCTGGTACAGTGAATTTCATTAGGGTTCACATTTAGAGGGTGGTGTTGATTATTTGGTTGCGTTTCTTTAGTATCGTGCAGAAAATACGGCACATTTCAACCAAAATCAGCAGAGCTGACGATTCTGTCTGATACGTAGCTAGCTGAACGTTACCAGCTCCGTAGATGCACTGAATTAGCGCCTGTTTCAGTAATTTTTTGACTTGCAACGGTGCGCTACTCCCCTGGATCCCATTAGGCCTATAGACCCTGTATGTTGTGAAGTTATCGCATGCGATTGAAGAACCATATCCCTGTCGTTAATCCAAACTCAACATCTACGAGCAAGTTTGTCCTTAGTGTTTGTTAGACTGCATGTGTTCATGTGACGCATCAACAACCGATGTACCTTGGGGCGCTGTCGGACTCGTCATATGTTATCGACCCTCCATCCGTCATTTTGGATCTGCCTACATGTTCGTTTGAGAACCCTTGGAATACTATCCCTCAGACCCTTATACGCATATGCGTGCTCACGCACATCGCCGCATACGTATATACATACAGATACACTCACGTACCCACACACTGATAACCAAGTGAACACAACATACAAACTCATTACCGCATTTCTGTTGACATCCCTTTTGTTTCTCTGTCAAAACAATCATTGCTATCTTTCATTAAAGCTGCATGCTCTTGTTTTTCGGGTTGACTGCGCTTTGGTTGCGCTCTATGCACTGTAACATTGATCGTACTCGTGCAACATGATTCCCAATTTGGAAACACATTTCAGTTTGCAATACCGTGATTTTAGATCGATAGCTGTGGGTGAAGAGTAGTTAGTCCTATCTTTGTATCCCACTGCAGTGTTCTTGGTTTTCATGTATCACCGTTGGAATTCGAGCAACCTTGATCGTCGAAATAACTTCGTAGTAGTTCGAAAGTTACAGCTCAAATTTGAAAAGCGTTCTGAGCAAAACGGTAAGGAAGTTCATTTTTTCTATTCAATGATTGCTGTTTGTTGAGAGTGCTTATGCTAGTCAATATACGGATTCAATATGNTTTTTAATTCGGTGTACAGTTAATAGGCCGACTAATGAAAAGCTTATAGTTTAAATAAATGTATAACTTATGTTACTGCAAACTACTCGCGTACCATCCCTCATCCTGAAGTCCTAAGTCGAACGTTTTAACTACTGCCCAGTAGTTATAATTTGAGTGCAATGTAAAACTGTTCTGTATTAGAAACAGAGCTAGCTACCTCGACAGTGGTCGACCGTGGCCAGGTTCAGGGAAATATTAGAGAAAACTGACAAGTGCTGTTTGATAGTCAACTTGGTGGACTCCATGGTGAACAGACTGCCTCCAATGCTCAAACATAAAGAAGGGCAAATAGAACATTGACAATACATGTATCATACCAACAAATCATTTTTGTAAACAAATTCTAATAAAGTTTTTCCATCGAGTCTTTGTTATTTTACAACTGATGCACCAACAGCGGTTGTCAAAATTGAGAAATCATTCATTTTAATCGCATTAGACTGATAGAAGCAAACGTGGATATTATTACAGATATGTTACGTTTGATGGGGCAGTAGCATAGTAAATCCCGTGAAACATTAAGCATTGGGAGAAACAAATAGGATGAAAGTCAGGGTGTTGTAGGAGATAAATCAATACCTGTATTCTTATGGTAGGTCAGTCAGAAACGGAGACCAAATCGT